AGAAACCAAGACACACAGGAAAGAATCAAGGAGATTTAAATCCACTCTCTTGGGAAGTCATTTTCCTGAGGCCCTTCTGATTATCAAAATAGACTGCATTTATCAAAAAAGAACTATGAAAAACAATTCACACCACCCATAATCCCAAAACCTGAAGGTGACTGCTGTTTATACTTTGATGTATTTACTTTATATACACACACATATTTACAGATATACGTACATATATACCAAGACAGGACACAGTACACATTCTGTTGTGGCCTCAACTGTAGAAGTAATGGCTCCAATCTGGAGCCTCCTGTAGTGGACTCTGTACCAATCACGTGGTAAGGTATAAGGACAGGCAGAAACACTTTTTGGGTAGTAGACCAGTAGTTAGATGTAGATATGTAGAGAGAAAGAGAGATAGAGGTAGAGAGATTTATTTACCAAAACAGAATGGTACATATTTCTTTCTGATGTTCATTTCTCACTTAACAGTAAGACACAAGCACAGTCTCATATTCTTAACTTTTGATATTGTGATATTAAATGGCTTTGTAACATTTTGCCATGTCAACATTTCACAATATGCTTACTTAGTTCTATCTTACTGGGTACTTAGATTGTTTCCAAATTTTTATTTTCACTCCCAACATTGTTAGTGTGCAGTCTTCTGTATCATGGCCAAGAGTGAATATTATCACTAAAAATATCTTAGCCAGTTTGAAAGATACGTTGTTTTAATTTATACAGGCTGAACATCTGTAATCCAAAAATTCAGAACCTGAAATGCTCCAAAATCCAAAACTTTTCGAGTACCACCATGACGCTCAAAGGAAATGCTCATCGGAGCAGTTCAGATTTTCAGATTAGGGATGTTCAACTGGCAAACATAAGGTAAATATTCCAAAATCTAAAAAAAAAAAATCTAAAATCCAAAACACTTCTGGTCCCAAGCATTTCAGATATGGGATACTCGACCTGTATTTCTTTGTTTACTAGGGAGATGGAACATTTTTTCAAGTTGCTTATCCATCAGCAATTCTAGCATGACTTTGCTATTCATGTCCTTATTCCAGCTTATTCAGGGAATATTCATCTTATCTTGTTTGTATTTATTTGATTGTAAAAATATCACCTTAACTCTTTGTTATACTTAAGATTGCAAATACTTTCCTTTGTTTGTAGTTTACCTGTAAATTTGTGTCTGGTAGCATTTTAGTGGTCAGATATATTAAATGTTTTTATATGGAAATCTTTTTTTCCACTGCCATTTCTTCTTTTTCTTCTATTCTTAGGAAGGTCTTTATTTTGAGATAAAATAAACAGCCATTATATTTGATTCTATACCTTTCATAGTTTTTCTTTTTTTTTAAAAACTTAACTCTATCCTTGAATTTTTTTGGTATTGTGAGTAGGTGACTAAGTGTATTTTCCCCCAAATAGCTAACCTAGTATCTTAGTATCTCAGCATCATATTTCTTTTAATTTATTTTTTTGAGACAGGGTCTCCCTCTGTTGCCCAGGCTAGAGTGCGGTGGTATAATCATGGCTCACTGCAACCTCAAACTCCTGGACTCAAACAATCCTGCCACCTCAGCCTCCTGGGTATCTGGGAATATAGGCATGTGCCACCACAACCAGCTAATTTTAATTTTTTACTTTTTGTGGAGACAGGGTCTTGCTATTTTGCCCAGGGTGGTCTCAAACTCCTGGCCTCAAGTGATCCACCTGCGATGGCCTCCCAAAGTGCTGGGATTACAGGCATGAGCCACCATGCCTGGCCCTCAGCATCATTTGTAAACGTTCCATTCTTTCCCCACTCATCTGAAAACAATATCCTTACCAAATACCAAATATACACACACACACACACACACACACACACGCATACTGTATATACATACATAATGTATATACACATACACATAAATACATACTGCTGTATATATTTGTGTGTATACTGTGTCTTGTCCTTTGAACTGTTGGTCTATTCTTATACCCACCTAACATCTGATTCTAGCTTTCTAATACATTTTAACAAATGCAGTGAAAGTTATTACTCATTATTCATTTTGTCCTAACCTTTCTTGGTAGTCATCACCCCTGTATTCTCTCAGTTGAAGCTTTAAAATCTAATTCTGTATTCCTTTGAGTCCAAGATGTACTTCTTTCAATTGGATTCTGTGAGACTTACCCCATAGCTTCACAATTCGATCTTTTCTTTTTTTTTTTTTTTTTTTTTTTTTTTTTTTTTTTTTTTTTGAGGCGGATCTCACTCTGTCGCCCTGACTGGAGTGCAGTGGCGCTAGCTCACTGTAAGCTCCGCCTCCCGGGTTCACGCCATTCTCCTGCCTCAGCCTCCGGAGTAGCTGGGACTACAGGCACCTGCCACCACGCCCGGCTAATTTTTTGTATTTTTAATAGAGACAGGGTTTCACTGTGTTAGCCAGGATGGTCTCGCTCTCCTGACCTCATGATCCGCCCGACTCGGCCTCCCAAAGTGCTGGGATTACAGGAGTGAGCCACTGAGCCTGGCCTCTTTTTTTCTTTTTAACCCAGTCTAAGTAGATTTCTGTTCCTTAAGGTTTTACCTCAGCCTTATTTTCTCTCTCCACTTCCTCTTTCTATGATCTCATCTAAACAGCTGACATCTGTCATCTTTAGGAAGAAGTCCAGATTGATATAAATAAAAAGCTAACATTGGCCAGGTATGGTGGCTCACGCCTATAATCCCAGCACTTTGGGAGGCTGAGGCGGGCAGATCACTTGAGGTCAGGAGTTCAAGAGCAGCCTGGCCAACATGGTGAAATCTTGTCTCTACTAAAGATACAAAAATAAACAAAAATTAGCCAGGTGTAGCAAGGGGGTCAATATGGCTGACCTGAATACAGGAAAGTAGTAGATGAGGAGGGAGGGGCATGGGGCTGCCCCAGATTATGGCTGGAAACTGCAGGTAAAGATTTCTTGAAATCGACTGTGCAAATAGTGGCTCACGCCTGTAATCCCAGCACTTTGGGAGGCCAAGGCAGGTGGATCACCTGAGGTCGGGAGTTCGAGGCCAGCCTGGCCAACACGGTGAAACCGTCTCTACTAAAAATACAAAAATTAGCTGGGCGTGGTGGCTATCCCAGCTACTTGGGAGCTACTCGGGGGGCTGAGGTATGACAGTCGCTTGAACCCAGGAGGCAGAGGTTGCAGTGAGCCGAGATCGTGCCCCTGCACTCCAATCTGTTCAACAGAGTGAGACTCTGTCTCAAAAAAAAATAAATAAATAAATAAAAATAAAATAAAAATTGTTGAAACCCTTCCCAAAAGGCCTTAGATTTGGGAATAGGAACTGTGTATTAATAGGGTTCAGAACCACCTGGCAAAGACAGTTGAGTGTCATGGCTACACTGCACTTAAAGCTGAGGAACGAGGGGAAGGGGTATGAATGCTATTAAGGAAAGTGAGAAGAGAGAGACAGTTCCATTTAGTTTCTTAAAGACACTAACGCACAGTCAAAATGATTCATGATGCACAAGAGTTTGAGGGCAGAATGACAATGATATGTGATCAGAATAACTAGATGAGGCTACCCTGAAAAAAAGTGACATTCAGGGCTTAATATTACTGATGAGGTACAGTGCAAACTGGGCTTGGTTTTGATCTTCCAAAAGGCATGCTGCCACAACATCCATCTGCCCCACAAGTGGGCTGGATAAAATTCAAGTTATTTTAAGAATATTGAAGAATATTTATAAGGCAACTACATACAAGATAGAAGAGTACAGAAGTCAGATTTCTGTAATCATTTAATGTAAGGCATGTGCTTTAAAAAATCTATTGTTTCTGCAAAAGGCAGGATGTATAGTGGTTAACTGCATGTTCTTTGGGGGGCAAACAGAACTGGGCTCAAATATCCATTTTGCCACTTAATCCTGTGTGACTTTGGTTAAGCAACCAACTCGAGCCTCAGTTATCTCATCTGTAAACTGGAAATGATACCCCCAACCTCAGACAGTTGGTATATTAAATGAAACAACGTGTTTAAAGTGCACAGCACTGTAACTGCTCAATAAAATTATGGCTTTTTCCTACTAAAGATGCATTGTATGTCAAGATTTCTCACATTCATTATGCATACCTCTTGAAATTAAAGGGACCCAAACTTACACTGCTATCAAAATACACGCAGACAGCAAAAACAAAGGAAACACATTTCATCAGAATTCTAAAGGCAGTTCTGGCATTCAAAAAGTAAACGCATTGAACCTAAAAAGATGACCCTCCAAATTGACTTTCTAGATACATTGTAACCCTCACAGCAACATATATGGAACCACTCTTCCTGATGATCAGTCAACTTAAAGTGCTTCTTTCAGAGGCCTCGTGAGGTGGCAGTTATGAAAGCCATTTTTTTGACTTAATTACAAGCTATTAAACGTCTTTCAGAAAATGAAACCCTATTATTCTGGAACTATGGAGGGAGCCAATGTCTAATTCCTTCTCCCACCAAAAATACCTCTTATGTAAAAATGAGTATGTTTATGTATGTGTTGTCGTTTTATCCAATTATATAAAAATTGAGCATTAGATTGGATTGTAAGGAATTTAAAGGAAATTCAGAAAATGGATAGCTCCTCCCCTTGCCCCGCCACATCCCTGAGGTATATCTCACTCAGAATGAAATGAACTTCAACAATGAGTACAGTTCATCAATGCAGACAGACATACGCTGAAAGTACATTTGTTAAGATGTTCTTACATTTGTTAGATTTCCGTATTTTGTTTTTGATGTTTTCTTGCAATTTCCATGACTATGTAGGTCCCCCTATTTGAGGTGTCTGTACTAAAGGTTCTGTACTAGTGCCTTCCTAATGACAGGACTTGGTTAAGTTGCAGATCCATGAGATCCTATGATTCCTGTTGACAATCCAAGAGACTAGAATTTAAGGAACTTAGGTTATACAATTAACTCTAAGCTCTTAAGGCTGAGCATATAGAATAAAAATGAGGTTATCCATAGTGGCATGAAATGTATGATCTTTATTAATTTTTAATCCATCAATCTAAAATCACACATACTAGATCAAACAGAAGTACCACAGTATGCTTTATTTTGCAGGTAGTAATTGGTTCTCTAAATTGATACATCCAAAACTTTAGTTAGCAGCAAGCATCAGTTCTTCCAAAGCAGCTTAGGTGAAAAACAATTCTTTACATTCACCAGTTCAAAGTCGTACTGTCTGATCCACTGTTGTACTGACATAAAAATGAACCCAGTAGGCAAAGCTAATTAAACACTCAGCTCATAGATTTTCAGCTTCCTTTATCTTATTGGAGTTGAAGCAGTTTTTAACCCTCTGTTCATATTCTGTATTTTAATTCTCAAAGAATTAAACACACATATTTTCTAATTAATTAAGATAGAGCCACGATAACTATTGAGGAATTAGTGATATTAGTCTCATACCCAAAAGGTAGAACACTTTTAAATGAACCCATAATTTTGAATGTATCTGAATTTCCAATTTATATGCTTAGCAAGGTCACAAGCTGGATTTAATTAATCTGGCTTCTAGACAATCATCTCAAAAATATGTATTGAAACGAAGTCACTGTTTTTTATGATGCCATCAATTTAACCAAATGCTTTTACAACAAATGAGCAGTTGTTCTCAAAAGAGAACACTTTAAAAGAAAACATTCTTTACATACTTAGCAAATAGAGGAGAGTGTGAATCTGGATGTCAGAGCTATAGAGTTCTAGAGGAGTTGTAATTGAGCAATCTAACTTTCTACTCCAGTTTTTGAGATGTACATGTTTTTGAGATGTACATATAGAGAAGGCAGTAAAGAAAGATCTTGATAAATCTTCTTTAACAAAATTTTGTAATTCCAGTTATTGGCAAAGGGTTCTGGCATGAGTTAATGGCAGCAATACAGTGGTGAGCTTCTGCATTGTGCTGAGAGGTAGATTGGGACTTAATCCTTGGATTGAATAACCAACTCACTTTATTTAAGGTTTAGGCTTAATTTTTTTAATCCAAAAAATATTTTCTGAAGTGAAGGCAGATCTTTGGGAACTTTTGTTTTTAGTTAAATATAGAGATAAAATAGCTTGATAAAATAAACATCTGCCTTACACTAATGACAGGTGTACAAAGCAGCCATTTGAACCCCAGACAACTTCAACACTGTGCTTCCAAATAAAAGGGCAATTGAACAGCTGAACCAATCAAGCAGACACGGGGATGAGCGGTCTCTAGTACCTTACTCCAGAAGCCAGAGCCATTAGCGGTCCCTACAGGGATATAAGTCTACATCAAGATCAACAAATGTACAGAATAATCTTGGTCCAGCTTTGGCTAGGCAGGCATCTGACTGATGACATATCAGGGCCCACTAACCTCTAGAGTAAGCACTTGTTGCTGTGAGAAAAAAGAAATCAATATATTAAAAATATCAACTAGAGCATATTCATGTAGGGAATGGGAGAGTGCAGGAGGCACACAAACAAAGTATATAGAGTTTTTGTTTTCAGTGCAGGATAAATGAACCTTCTTAACAAGTTAAGGCTCTGAGGGAAAAAACTTTCTAAACCACAACCTTAATAAACCATAACCCATACAGGTGTTCCAAATCAACACCTTTTAAAAAAAGCTGAAGGTCTTACTTCATCCTTCAGTATAAATGTCAAGTCTGAGATAATCACTATATTCCAAACTCCAGAAAAAAAAAAGAAAGAAATTTCCTTGTTAAAATATAGTAGCTATTAACAGTGATGAAGAAAACAGCCAAACTTTTGCTATTAAATACGATATCATGAAGCCATTTCTTTCTTAACCAAAAAAATACAGATTTAAATAATGCTGATCAGGAGGTGGGGAAAGGAAGTCTTATCATGAACCAAATTTCGTTTCTGCCACTAATGAAAATGAATCCATTATGTTCTTGAATTTATTTCCTGAAGCAAGTTAAATTCTTTAACACCTTTGATTTTGCAAATAACATCAAAGTAGTAAAATATAAGTAACTGTAACATATAAAATTACACATCAGTAAAAATGCTTTCATAATTGGATCCAGGGGCTTAAAATCATTACTTACTTAAAAAATTCTAAGCCACAATCTTTCTTTTAATTATACTTTAACAAAGGAAGAAAAAAAACAAAAAAATTGGTCCTAATATATTTTGTCTTAAATAAGTGTACTCATGCCCAAGTTAGCTAGCAACTCACTTAAGTTTGTCTGCATATCTTAAACAATCTATTGCACAGCATGTCCTGGCTTTTAGCCAATGGAAACGTAACTTCTAACTGAAAACAAAACAAAACAAAAAAAACCCCACTAGATTTAATTGATTACACAGACTGATAACCAGTACGACTTTTCCTTCTTCCAATCATATAAGAGATAAAGACAACAATTATAAGGAAACCCAAGGCCACACCCACTGCAACAGGAATAAGAAAGTTGAGGTCAGAGTCAGCAGAACATTCTTCAGCTGTTAGAAAAGAACAGACAGCAAGGAAAGGAAATTAGTAAAGAATGCAGTTAAGCAGTAAAAAGCATGCGAGAAACAAGCATTTTTAAAGTGTACATAGCTTAGTCTTTTATAGCATTACCTCTATTTTATTTGCTCAATATCTCATTATCGCTTTATTTAAAAGCACACGAAATTCCTCAGTACAAAAAGCAGAAGGTAAGGGAAGAATAGGAAGGGCCCAAAATAGAGAATTGTGCTTGCCTAATATGGGAAGACTTTAGGTTTGATTATCTAATGACACTGGGTTAAGGAGCCATCATCTTCACTTAAAACCACTGCCTGTGTATTTCCCTACTCTCTTTCTCCTTTGTTATACCTATAACTAAAGTATAAATAAGAATTCTGTATAAGTAATAAAATATAAGTTAAAAAAGACTTAGGATCAAGAATGCAGTATATACTTTTTTTTTGCATAGGCATTAGGTAGCTATCAGGTTATACACAATTACTTTTAGCTGAGCAGTGGCCTGGAAGAATAACAGCAGTATTTAATTCATTGTAGTCCATTCCACCGAACCACCAGGAAAGCAACATGTTCAATGTAGATTTTGAGCTCTGGATTCAGACAGAACTGAGTTTAAATCTTGACTCCTTCCAGTACTAGCCAAAGGACCTTGGGCAAGTTATTCAAACTGGGCCTCACTTTCCTCATCTGTAAGAGGGGGATAATACCCATAAGGAAATTGAGGATTAAATACAATTTTATTTCTAAAGCACCTGATACACATCAGGAGGTCAACAAGTGTTCCTTCTCGTCTCTTTTCCTCTTATGCTCATGGTCCCATCTGAGAAGGATTAGGTTTTGAAGTAGCAAACAGAGATTAAAATAGGAGTGGTTTGGTATATTACTATTGAAAAAGTCCATATTAGTATAAAAAAAAAAAAAAACTTAAGCAAAACATAGTATGGAAGCCCAAAGTGCCCAATTCTGATCTCATAATTTCAAGTGTAAACCAGCTGTTGTTTTACTGTTGAGTGACTAGATTTCATTAGGGGCAATTTTTATCAAAATGCTAACAATAGTTTTGTTGCCCACTTGATATGGAACCTCAATGAATTTCACTCCCCTTTCTGTAAATAATCGTTAAGGTCATTTCCAGTAATAGCTAATGAAATTAACAAAATGTGTTATCTGGTGTGATTTATGATTAAGCAATGACTTGTACTTTTCTTCTAATTTTAACTTTTCCTCCTCTTGTACTTTTGCCATTCATAAAAATGTTGCTACGGTTCTGAGTACATAACACTCATTTCAGTAACCACACATTAGCCTATGTTGAAAGAACTTACTATATTTTACTGAAAGCTCTCAAAGACTGAGAGCTGGGTAACAAGATACACTGTATAGAAGTTATAGAAACTCTGATCATGCCCATATATACATACAATGGGTTAATAATACTTCAACGCGAAAGTCTTCTAGTCTATTAATCTTCCTTCTTTATCTATGTTTCATATCTGTGCTACTCTTATACCACGGAATATGCTTCAACAAGGGCTGATTATCTAGTTCATTTTAATGCCAACAGCTTCTCTTTACAACCCTATCTATGCACTGTCCCACAGGGGCCATCTTGAAGAAACAAGAGCCTAGTTGCTATTGCTTCACTGCCTCCCTTCTGAGATTGCTGTTAGCTTACATTTCATAAGTACCACTCTGATGACAACACTAAATAGATTTTAATGCTCCAGAGATCAACAAGATGAGGTAGAGAAACACAACACAATCTGTCCTAATTAGTTCATAGAATATTTCTATCTTTCAATACTAATCAGGCATCCAAAGAAGAACAAAACAAGAAACAAAAAAGCAAGTGGTTAAATATGCTTGAATCTTTTCAGTCTATATTGCTGAAAAACAAACAATTCTCTTAAAAACTCTAATTATGAAGCCAGTTTAAGTTCTGTTGTAGCCTCTTGGGTCTGTATCATCCCTAGGGAAAAAATCACAAGCCTGAGGTACTAACTTCATGCTTAACTTAAACTCAGAGAAATCAGCAGAAGTCACATAACCTTTAAAATGCTGATGGTCCTGAGGACATTCTCTACTTTATTCAACTGAAAACCAAGTTTAAGCACATCTGATGGGCATTTATACCACATCAACATTTATTTAATGAACTTTATACAAAGGCACATTGATGAGTTTAAATCACTATAGTCCTTATACACTGAAACAGAATACCAGTCGTGAAATGATATTTATTAATTCCATTAAGACACAACTATATATTTTATTCTTATAATGGCCATGTTAATAAGTTCAATGCATACTTCAAAGTTAGGATCAAAATTTGGCCAAGGCTTCTTAAGATAGACTTTAAAACATTGCACATCGATGTTCCTTTGAACAAGTTTGTCTCCAGGACCAGTAAATATGACACTTTGGATTGTAAGCTGATTAAAGAGAACAGGTTTTATTAATAAAGACTGATATCAAAATGCTGGGATTGATAAAATAATTAAAGTTTCAACATATCAATTTTAAGAAGTAAAGTGTTTCAACAACTGAGAGGTAAGAAAACCTTGTTATTTGCATGTATTTTTATATAATCAATCAGGTTGCAGATTCTAAAATTGCTCATATCCAGCATGATGGCGCTTGAGACCAATAAAATAAGCCAGCAACACTAGAATAAGTACTCCTGCCAAGGCTGCTCCCACTGCTATGGGCACAAGGAAGTTGTCGTCATCTGCACTGCAGTCTTGAGCTAGATGTGGAGAAAGGACAATTGAGAACAGAAACAGTGACAAACTTTCAAATCTGTGTATTTTGGGTAAAATGACAGTACTTCCTAACACACATATTTTGTTTTTTTTTATACCAAGGTAACAAGTCATTGGCATTCATTATCAGCAAATGAGATGTTCCACAAAACTGATTTCCCAAATAACCAAATAATACACTTTTAAGTACCAAGTAAAAATGCACTCATTTTGGATGAAAAATGTACAACATGGTCACATACTTCCCAGATTTCTTAAACAGAACATAATGAACAAATATAATTAGCCTTGCCTTGATGATCAGGCCGTGAGCTTTCAGAGGCAAACTGTTATGATGTCGAAGAAGCACAGTGCTTCAAATATTGCAGATTGTTAAATATTAACTCACTGAATGAACAACTATACAAAGCAGACATAAGAACTCAATACATTACAATCTGGGGTCATTTACTAATGGGAAAAGAGATATAAGCGGGCCCTGATGACATAACTGTTTGCCTCAAGATGCTCAGTCCTAGTGTGAGAATCAGACAAGAAAAATCAGTGGTTGTAATTTCAAAATGTGTTGTGGTAGGAGCAGGCAACACAAAGTGCCATGGAAAAATTTCAGAGGCACACTCAAGCTCAGCCTTATTACATAAGACACACTTTGAAAAGGTGACACTTCAGCTGAGATTTTAAGGATGAAGAGGAATTAACGATGCAAGTAATGGGGGAAGGGCATTCCAGGTATAAGAAATAGCACAGACAAAAATATGGAGAGTAAAAAGACACAGCACTTCAAGGGAAACGCAAGCAGGTTGGCATAGCTAGAACAATGGATCAAAGGTATTTTGGCTGGACAGAAGGCAGAAAAAGTGTACAGGGACCCAGGTCACAAAGGTCCTATATGCTCTTAGGTAGTTTGGCCTTATCCTGATGAAAAAAAAAAATTCAGCAGCAGGATATTAAGCAGGATTTCATTTCAGAAGTTATGGCAGATGGAGGTAGTAAAGTAGGGGGCATGTCTATCACTAGAGTCCAGGTAACCAATAATATTGTCCTGAGCTGGATTAATGAAGTACAGAAGAAAAGCAGAAGGTACAGACTGGAGATCAAATTAGAAGGCAAAATTGGCCAAATGGATGTAGGGGATGTAGGAGGAGGAGATAATAGAATGGTTTCCAATTCCACACTTGACTGATTATGTAGATGCTGGTGCTAGTCTATAAAAGAGGAAGAATATATGCATTTCAGTTTTTTGTAGTTATATGGAACAGGGGGCGAAAAGGATACGTGGAAGAGAGAGATGCTCAGTTTTGGATATGTGAGTTTAAGATACCCGTGACCTTAGTTGAGCACGGTGGCTTACACCTACAGTCCTAGCTACTTGGGAAGCTGAGATGGGAGAATTGTTTGAGCCCAGGAGTTTAAGACCAGCCTGGGCAACATATCGAGAACCCATCTCAAAAAAAAAAAAAAAAAAGACTATGTCGTAACCAAGTGGCTATATGAACCTAAGTGGTAGTTAAAACATGGGGCAAGAACATTTCTCAGTAAGGGGAAGTAGAATAAAAAGAGGACCAGAGACAAAAACCCTTGGGAACACCAATACCTGTGGAATAGACAATGGAGTAGGAAAAAGATGTAAAAGGGCAGGTAGAAAATGGCACCAGAGAAGCCAAGGATGGAAAGTTTCAATTAGGGTGGAAAGACAGCAAATAATATTAGAGAGCTCTGAAACATGTCCATTGCCTCTAGCAATATGAAGGGTGGGAGATATGAGTAGAATTGCTGCAGGTTTAAGAGGGAATGGGAAGGGATTGGTTAGGACATCAAGAACTTGGGCAGGGTAACGAATACAATACTCATTTTGAGAAGTTTAGAATGATTAAGACAGGACAAAAGGGAGGTAATTAGAAGGGGGACATAGGGATAAGAAAGGATAGCTTCAGGTTAGAAGAACTTAAATAGGATGAGGGAAAGAGCCACTAGCAATCGACAGAAGATGCTTTGGTACAAGTTCTCCTACAAGGCAAGAGAAATGGGATTCCAAAAGCATAAGACATAAGAACTCAATACATAACAATCTGGGGTCACTCAGTAATGGGAAAAGAGATATAAATGGGCCTTGATGACATAACTGTTTGCCTCAGTTTAACCAGGAAAAGAAAACCTACTCTGAGACTGGAGAGGAGGAAGGAATGATACAGATGGATACACTTGCAGGAAGGATGTTAACTGCTACTTCTATTTCCCATTTCCTGTGTCTTGTTGCCCTAGTTCTCTGCCTAGCTTGTAGTCTATTAGGGACTGATAAATCAGATAACTAAGCTTATTAGAATTGTATCAAAGATAGGACAAATAGGCTGCATGGCAATTCTGATTGTGCTTGCATTCAAGAAATGTGCCAAGCTTTCCACCCACCCCCTACTAGCCTCTGGGGCAATAACTAGGAACAAAATGCAACCCTGGAGTTTATGAACTTTTCTGACATTGACTTTGGCTGCCAGTTCAATTATTTTTTTTACTTGCTTCTTGGTTCTGTTAAGAATCCAGATAGCTGAGGTTGCTAGATGTGACCTGTGAATAGATGGTGTTAAGAGTCCCCAGTTAGCACCTCCCCTACAATTTCCCAAATTACCACCCAGCCCATAAACTATTAGGTGACATGTACCATAAAGTATTATGCCGTGGGTTTAATATAACTTGGTTTTTAAAAGATTCATTAGTAGATTAATTTCTTATTCTGGCAACAGACTCATAGTTCTCTCTTTCCCAAATTGGGTATTTGACCTAGTACTGAAACGACTTTCATAAATACTGCCAATAAGGCTTTCATGTAAGACAAATATTCCCAGAGTAGCTCAAAAAGGCAATTCCGCTAATACAAAGATCTTTCTAGATACTGTCACTTACTTAAAATGCTCTCAATTAGTATGTGAAATATTAATTTATAATAACTATTGATTGTATGAATTCAACCTTTAAAAATTCTTTAGTTAATGGAAAAAATTTTGGTAAAACAGTAACTTTAATGGGATCACATTCTGAAGAAAAGAAAATCTCATCCTATAAGTCATTTTGACCTGATCTACTTGCCTAATGTATACTTAACACTATATTGAAAATGCTTCTGGGGAAAAGAAAAGTGTATTTGCCGAAGAATTTAATGGCCACAGAAGCAATAAAGATTTTTAAAGTTTAAAAAGTTCCATGGCCACTAAAATTTCAATAAGAAGTTTCATGTAGATTAAAAATGCTGTTAATCTTCAATTTTCTACCAGTTCAGACATTTTTCAAATACAATTTTCAACACAAGAACTGGAAAGCTGAGGTATACAACAAAAACTAATACAATTTCTCTTAAAAACCAATTGAGGCCAGGCACAGTGGCTCACGCCTATAATCCCAGCACTTCAGGAGGCCGAGGCAGGCGGATCACTTGAGGTCAGGAATTCGAGACCAGCCTAGCCAACATGGCAAAACCCCATCTCTACTAAAAAAATACAAAAGGTAGCCAGGTATGGTGGCACTTGTCTGTAATCCCAGCTATTTGGGAGGCTGAGGCACAAGAATTGCTTGAACCTGGGAGGCGGAGGTTGCAGTGAGCTGAGATCGCACCACTACACACACTCCAGCCAGGGCAATAGAGCGAGACTCCATCTCAAACAAAACAAAACAAAACAAACAAACAAAAAAACAGTTGAATCGAAACTTCTTTTTGGAAGAATCAACATTAAGAAGCACATTCTTAGGTGACATCTTATTTGTTATATACATTTTATATCTATAATCAAACTGTGTTACGTAAATCACATGCATCTGAAAAGATTCGTGAAGCTACTCAGTATCATTCATGAAAATGTATACCAGTTTCAAGGACAAGAAATGGTAATTATTAACGCAGAAAGTTAGCTACCAGGGTAAAAGAAAAGGAGACGGGTGGAAGATGAGCCCAAGACAAGTTAACATTATCTATCTAAATAAACAGATGAAATACTATAATCTTAAAAATGTCTGAGTCTTATAAGAATTCCTACTGAAAGACTGCAGGAAACTTAAGCAGTACATTTTACACTGAACTTATAGTATGTTCTTGATACGTAACAAGTAGCTTCCTATCAGATTCCTTCTAAAATACTAAGATGTATGAAATACTAAGATGCATTCCTCTGAAATTCAAATTATCATTCAAAGAAATGAGTAGCAGGATTTTAAAGTCCCCACCCACTGGATGAAGAAATTGAGACACTAGAAGTTAAACAACTTGGCCAAAGACAATGGTAGTTAACTGCAGAGTTTGCAGCCGTGATGACTAACTGGCGTTCACATGGCTTAACTGGGTAATTCAGAGAAAAGTTACCACCTATATTGCTAAGTTTTCTTATGTGATATAGTAAGGTGACTAGGAAACTATTCGTATATGGAAACTGGAAGGCTCAAGTATTTTAGGGTGATCTAAGTAAGAGAGAGACTGGACACAATCCTACGTTGGTTCAGATCAATAGCTCAATATGTATGGCTGCAATGTAAAGCTGCTATGTAGAGATATTAAATATCAACCTCAACTTAGGAATTGAGAAAAATGTACAGAGAGATACTCTGAAGCTTTTATGATGAAATAACTATTCTAGATCACTGGTTCCCTAACTGACTATGCATCAGGTTCAGCAGGGGAGCTTACACACACACACGCACACACGCGCACACACACACACACACACACTCTCTCTCTCTCTCTCTCTCATTAGACCTACTACGTTAAATCCTCTAGGGATGGAGCCTGGAATCTATTTTTATATTTTATAAAACGCTTCCCAAGTGAATTTTATTCTGTAGCCTGCCTACCATCAGTCAAGGCTTATGTATGGGACCATTCATCCAGATAGTAATATACAGACAGAACATCAGAACATTTTGCAAATAATTTAGTTCTACTTCTAAACATTTCCAAAGTTTTTCCATTTGAAAGAAACTGCCATTATGTAGCATACAAAATCTT